TACAGTTTTGGTGCTCTTTAATGCGGCAGGCCTCAGTTCAAGCGGCACATGAACCCATCTAATCTTTCTATTTACTTTTAGTGTACTTAGTGAACATGAATTAACATCAAAAGGTAGGCTATTTGATAAGAGAGCCTACAGTTCAACTTACTGAAATGTCTCATGTAAAAGCTCATTCAGTATTTCAAACTGCGAAAAACGTGTTTGATGCATTGCAACGTAACATTTATCTCAGAATAACCATTCGGTGTCCATAAGCTCATCAGGCAGCTAGAAAAATAACTACATTACATGAGAAAACCATGAAATAGATAATATACAAATAGCTTTAGAAAGAAACTTTTCTTTTGTCATCTTTTTTTTTCATTTTTGGGTGAACTATCCCTTTAATTAATTTGTATTATGTTTTTTATTTTAGCGTTCAGATTTTTTATCAATATGTAAGTATTAAATCATTTTAAATGAAATAATACTCTAAATAAGAAGCTAAAACTGCCAGTTGGTGGCAATACATGTCTTAATGAATAAAGTCATTGGTTGGTTGGTTCATTCATTCGTTTCGTTCAAACGGCTGATTCATTCAGGAATTACCGTATTGACCCGAATATAAGACGATATTTTTTTCTTGGAAATGCATCTGAAAAAACGCGGTCGTCTTATATTCAGGGTCTAGACTTTGAAATGTGAATAATACACCCACAACAATAGGTGGCGCCAAATACGCGAGTGTGCCATGAAATACTAATGTAATGCGTGTTGTAAAGATCGTGAGTAAAAACTAAAGAAAAAGAAAAGCTTACAGCTGCATGAGTCGTGACGGTCACGTTAGCCTGATGGGACGAAACTCTCTTTGTGATTTTAAAACGTAAGACAGTACCCAGATTTGAAGACTACAGTAAGATTTAACTTCTACTGTTAATAAGATTTTGGTAGGCTACTATTAGACGGATAGCCTAAATGTCCTAATTCAGATGGGTTACCTGTTTTTTTTTTTTTAATGGTATATCAAAAAGTGTATATTTTTT